GTTATTATCATTATTATTATTGTTATCATTATTGTTCATATTATTATTATTACTATTATAACCATTACTTACCATGTCATAATTAATATTGTTATTATTATTATTATTATTATTATGACGACGATGATGATCGCCCAGCAATCGGTGTTTCTGATGAAAGTTTTCATATCATTTTGTACGATTTTGCAGACTGCATGAACGACCCCTGTGAGCATGGTTGGTGCGAAGAGACAATGACTGGCTACAAATGTCACTCGTTTGACAATTCTTCAATAACTGTTGGTGACAAAGACAACACCATCACTAGCGCCATAACCACTACCACAACAACCACAAAGTCAACTAGAGAGACCCCGCAACCAGCGACAACGTCATCATCGACAACGCCTTCACAGGACCGTAAGACTTTACGGATTCTCGGCTGGCTCGGGCTCGGTGGCTACTTTTTTAAAACCTTACCCAGCCATCCTAGCGCTGCATTTAATTGGCTTAAAATCACAATCAACAGAAACCTAGCCATAAATATTAATTATACACTCACTCACCGAATCGGATGAGATAATTTATCATATAATTAGATTTCATAATAATAATAATATTCGGTTCTTGTATAGCGCATATCACATTATATAATAACTAGCTGGACCCGCGGAAATCCGCGGGATTCTAGAGGGGGGCGGGGGTGTAAATAGATATATAGAGACTGTCTAAATTAAAACCACCAAGAACTTTATTTGCCATTCAGGCCATTACAAAATATACAATATATATGTTTAGCGTCCCCGCCCGCTTCCTTTTTGGGGGCCGCCTCCAATTTTTTTTTTTTGAAATTTTTTGAATTTTTTTTTTTTTTTTTTTTAGGGGCCGCCTCCTATTTTTTTTTTTTTGAAAGAAAAAAAACATGAAAAGCACTGCTAAAATGTATTTCTGATTTAAAAAAAAAAAAAAAAAAAATCTCGGCCGCTATCTTGAAAAATAGCCTGAATGTCGGAAAATGTACGGAGCGGCCATTTTGAAAAAAAAAAAAAAAAAAAAAGGGCCTCCTCCCATTTTTCTAAAAAACAGGACGCTTTAAGCATGTTTTTTTTTTTATTTGGCCTTATATTAAATTAAAAAAACAATCCAACTGTACCGGTAGTTATTCTTTAAGCCACTGGAACTGCATAGAGTTCTGTAGAGTGGCGTACCGACTACGCAGAAATTAGGCTGCGTATTAATGGGAAAAAAGTCCCTGCGTAGGTTATGCGTAGGCTGGCGTACGGGTTTGCTTATGGTTGCTTACTGTGTTGAAAGCTTTTACTGCTTTGTCAATCTGGCGTAGGGTAGCGTACTGTTGCGTAGGCATGTAGCGTAGTGTTGCGTAAAAAGACGTACTTTCTGCGTCAAGTTTCTATGCCTAAAGTACGCGAAAAAAATTAAACATGTTGAATTGTTTTTGTTCATCTTGCGTACCCCTTTCCGTCCCTCAGCATATAGTAACGTAGGCCAGCGTAGGTGGTACGCAACACTACGCAACTCTACGTATTGACCCACGCCAATTAGTGACCCGCAGGTGCCACAAATAAAGTATTAACAAAAATGCTCATCTGACCCTAATTAAACGCCTAAAACCCCCAGGCTTTCGGGGGTTTATGGCCCCTTGAAACCCGTGGACCCCACGCCTATATTATATATACACTCAACTTGCTGCGATCTGATCTCTCCCCCCCCCCCCCACTTTGAAGAACATAACCCCCTGAGCTTTTGGGGGTTTATGGCCCCTTGAAACCCATGGACCCCACGCCTATATTATATATACACTCAACTCAGGACCCGCGGAAATCCGCGGGATTCTAGAGGGGGGCGCAGGCAAAAAATTAAGTTTTTCATTTCTGGGGCTCCATTTCAAATTTTCGGAAAATTTTCGGGGGCTACTTTTTCAACTTTCGGGGGCTCTTTTTTCTGGGGCTACTTTTTCATTAATTCATAAAAGGATAGGCCTACACTTTGTTGAGATTTGTTTAGTAGGCTAAGGTTTGAGGCTTCCTACATCCTACTTCATAATTGCCTATTTAAAAAAAAAAAAAAAAAAAATCTCTAGTTCAATAACTAAGTTTTCATGCATTGATTTGATGCAAGAACTGTAACATAATAATAGACCCTAGATTGTGATTATTTCTGACCATGAATTTCGATAATCATTTTTCAAAGTAAAATTTTCATAAGAAAATCAGACAGTCGTTTAAAAACGTAGACATTAGTAATACTTTTACTAATTCTAAGCTCAGGTTTCGTAAATCTATTCACGAAACTATATTGAAATCGCGGCAATAATGATGCAAACCAACAGATAACAATTTCAAAGTGTCAAATCTCTTCGACTCGAGCTCAGCTGAACTCACACACACTTCAGCGTAACTCCAGCAAGCTCGAACACCAGCGCCGCAGGCGTCGGACGCCTGCGGTGCCCGGTGCCGGTGTTGGAGCTTCCCGAGCAGTGCAGCTGCACTGTGTGTTGAATGAAAGCAGCTTGCGACTGAACTGTCAGTCCATTGGTTTTCTTGTGAAAACTTTCCTTTAGAAAATGATAATCAAAATTGAGTATACATGGCCGTAATAATCACAAAATAAGCTTTGATTTCATACCTCCATTCACGAAAACTATATAAAAATCGCGGCAATCATGATGGAAATAGGTCTCTAAGTTTGGACGTCGACGGGAAGCCCCGTTCATCTCTTGTGCAGCTACTACATGCAAAGCACATCCTATAGAAAGATACCTAACACGGGGTAAGTCATACCCATTCAGCGTGCATTTAATACGCAACTTAATGTGAGTGGATAGTCATTGGTCGTGTGTCTACGGATGTTATGTTGAATATCCATGAGGTATCTCTGTCGTCACGCATATCATGCATTATGCATATCGCGTCTGTTTTCGCCCTGGACGTCGACACGGAGGAGGACCTCGGGCGGAGTATAGCCAATTCGACAGAGTTGACTCTCCCGCGGACGATGGCACCGGTCACCGGTACCCCGAGGGGAGGGTTCAGGAGGAGATAGCTGCACCAACTTCGGTCGGCGATCTCATTAAAAAACAACAGAATACAAAGGCCGGCGGAGACGTCGCGCCCCCCGCGGAGCCTTAGCGTATTACTTATAGTGATAATTATACCACTAATGATAGTGGGTTCTTGTATTGCGCTCATGTCTGTGATACGTGACACTCCTGACGCTCCCAATTATTACCCTGACTTTGGCACGGCTACCATTACGGCGTTCTAGCATTTCAAGGAACTAATTCCTGTCAGGTACCCATTTACATCACCTGGGTTGAGTGTGGCAAATGTAGATCAATGTCTTGCCAGAGGACATTAGTGTAACGGCGGGACTCGAATCGTGGACCTTGTGTTCGACAGTCCGGTCGGTGACATATCCAATCGACCACGACACCTCTACAAGAAAATGCAATTTGTGCAAATCTATGTTTACTTTAAAAAAATGACATATATCGCAAGTAAATCGGGAGGTTTACCCAGGTCGAATGCATTCCCAGGTCGAAACTTTTTCATTATAATTGCGAGTAGTTTTGCGACATACCGTTATAGTCCAGAATATGGCCGATTTAATGTTGATCTCCACCACACGGTATACCAACGCAAATACTACTACTACTAGGTCGAGCGTACTCGCACTGATTTGACAAGCTTTATCCATTCAGTTCTATTCTCCATGATCTTTGGGAGCTCCTGCCTTGGTAGACATGTGTCCTTTTCTAACTAGTCAATGTAAGTCATCGCTGGGCGCCCTCTGGTGCGTTTGCCCCTTGAGGGCTCCCATAAGAGCATTTGTGAAATGATTTCACTCTTGCTCCTCCAGCAGTGCCCACTGAAACGGAGGCGGCGGTCTCTCAGTCTGGCTGAGATCGGTGTAATTTCCCTATACAATTCTATATTGGTCATTATGGTCCCTCCAGTTGACATTTAGTGCTGCTCTCAAGAGTCTTGTATAGCAACCATCCAGTTGTTTTTCCAGGCTACTCGTCAAAGTCCAGGCTTCTGATCCATAGAGCAGTACAGTTTCCACTGAAAAGAAACGGACTTTCAGTTTTCTACCGAGGTTTGATTTCAAGATGGCTGTCAGCTTGTTCAAAGCAGTCCAGGCTTTTGCCTTTCGGATATTCAGATCTTGTTTTGACTGATCAACCCACGAGCCAAGTATATACTGAACATTTTGGACCTGCTTCAACTTTGTCCTGTCAGCAGTACAAATCTCGCCTTCACGAAGGTTGTACAACATGAATTCTGTCTTAGTACTGTTTAACTGTAGACCGACTTGGCTTGCTGCAGACTCTACTTGGTCTAGGAGCTCATGTGCCTTTTCCAGATTGTCTGAAATTAGTGCAATATCATCAGCAAAGTCTGTATGTGTGATCATTACAGCAGGATATCTGCTACTTTTCCTTTCCTGTAGGGTGAAGCCTAGATCCTCGAACCCTTCAGTAGTCATTCTTAGAGCATAATCCAATGCTATGATGAATAGGTATGGTGCTAAGGTATCTCCTTGAAGCACTCCTGCTAAGATGGTACAGGAGTCTCTCCATCGGGTGAACGTACTTGAGCTGTGGTATCTTTGTACATCACCCCTACTGCTGTAACTATTGTGTGTGGTATTCCGTAGGCTCTTAGGATCTCTGACATCTTCTTTCAATTGATTGAATCAAAGGCCTTCTTAAAATCCACGAACGTAAGCACTGCTGTCAGATGCTTTGCTTATACCTTCCACCAGTCTTCGCAAAGTTAGAATTTGCGCTACTGTAGATCTTCCTGGACAGAATCCATTCTGGTTCTTGCGGAGAAGGGGTTCCAGGTGAGGACGGATTCTATTCAAAAGCATTTTGTTAAATACTTTTGCAGCTACTGGGGTCAGTGCTATCCCACGGCAGTTTTGAGGGGTACTGAGATCTCCTTTTTTGGTACAGGGATTATTATGCTCCTAGACCACAAGTCTGGTTTCTCGCCATGGATAAGTGTTCTGTTACATACTTCCAAAAGCTGTTTGTCAAGGGCACCAGACTTCCATACCTCTGCTGGGATTCCATCCACACCTGTGCATTTATTATTGGAGAGGGAGGTAACTGCTACTTTGAGTTCTGCAATGGTAAATTTGCTTGTTTTAATTGGAAGTGTCTTTTGGACCATCTTCCTTATTGGGTTGTTGTTATCCGATGGTAGTTGACCAAGAGGATAAGAAAAGTGATCTTTCCACTGGGTTATGTCTCTCTTGGTTTTTCTTACCTCTAAGCTGATCCACTGGGGTCGAGGCCTTTCCAGTGATCTCTTTTACAATATCCCATACTTTCCTAGTCTGCTGTTAGACTGCACCATGCAATCTCGATCTCAGTGCATTTTTGAGTTATGTAGTTTGACTGCTCTTCATCGTATGCATCCTGGAGATCTTTCTTGGCTTTGTCAAGTGTTTCTGCATGTTCGGCAGTTGGTGCGCAATTCTTTTTATTATATGCTACATGTATATACCTTTAGGCATTTCCGTTTCTCCCTGATCTTTTCGTTTTCCCATGGCGCCCATTTCTTCTTACCCTTTCTCTTTGGTACATATTTCGTGGCTGCTCCTTCGTGAGCTTCTATTAGTGCAGAGTAGATCTCGTTCGCTGTAGAATTCTCGATATCTTGATACAATGCCTCAAATATGTTGTTTACCTCCATTGTTTATGCTTCCTTAATACTACAATCTGATTTAAAGAGCTGCCAGTCATGATGAGAAAGATTTGATTTGGCTTTTACCTTCGTATTGCTTCCCAAGCTTAGTTGCATTTTGGTGGAGACAATTCGATGGTCCGAGTTCAAGGGGCAACAAAAGAGTTGTAAGCTTGACAGTCTTTCACACTATTTCTCCACTTTTTGTTCACTAGGATATAGTCTAGTTGTGCCTGGCTCTTATTTGGGTATGTAAATGTCCACAACTTTTCTTTGACTTTTTGAAAGCGTGTGTTACACGCAATCAGGTCACATTCGAATGTCATGTTCAGCAAGTATACTGCCCATTTCTGTTAGTCCTGAAACCCTTGCTGTTTGCAGAGCTAACCTGGGCATTCATGTCACCACAAATAATCTTCATGTTGTGCTGAGGGATCTTTTTAATTACATCAGACAGTAAGCTATAGAAATTTACAGCTTAATTGTAAATAATCACATTAGATATTCAAATGCAGCGCTAAGATGGCTGGGTTAGGCTTTTTTAAAGTCGCGGCCAAGCGGGAGGGGGGACGGGGGAGGGACACATGTCCGAAATACTCTGATAAACAAGATGAGAATTTAAAGGTCTATCATTTACCCCTCTCTTTACCTCACGATTTACCCATGTTTTACCCTCTTTTATCACAGTTTGTCTTTCAACTCCTTGTAAAAATGGAGGGACTTGCGAACAGTTAGTGACGTCGTTTCTATGTACTTGACCTCCGATGTTCTACGGTCCAGTGTGTGGTAAGTATATTATTGCTAGCGCAACTGGTGGAGTAGCAGGTGATTTATTCTGTGCATTATTCAAGGAAGCGGGATTCGAAGGGAGGCGCGATAGCTCAGTCGGTAGAGCAGTGCCCTTTAATTAGTCCTCATTATCTTTACTCGTTAATCCTCATTACCATGTCCCTCGGAGAGGACCTGAAGCCGTCGGCCGTCTGGTTGCTTACTAACACGCATTTATTCTTTCTTAGCAGTCAGGTGAAATAACCACCACCACTATCAAATGAGGGCCCCTTCGAGGCTCTGAATGAGACTACCCTCCCATAAGATAAATAAATAAATAAATAAGTAAATATATATATATATATATATATATATATATATATATATATATATTCCTTTAATTTCCTTTCATCTGTACTGATCCATGGTAATAGATAGAGATTCTGTATCCATTGGCTTTGTTACTACAAGGTACATTCATTTTACAAATACAATGCACATAGAACATAAAAAGAATCACACTAACGTTTTCCAGTTTTTGTATATTTGCCTACATGCAGATCAATATTTACTTACGCAATTACTTACGTAATTATATACGCAATGTATTTTATGAATGCATTACCATTATTCCTTAATGATTTTAGTGTACATATTGGTTTCAGAATATTGAAATAATAATAATTTTTGCCTGGTATAGTATCAGGACATGTATCCCGTTGAATTACTTAGATGTATATCTACATAGAATTAAGGGATATCAGATCATGAGGTGAATATAAAAGAATGAATGCAGTCGTGTATAATGGTGCATTTTGAAGAAAACAAGCAGTCACCGACCCCTCCCATTATAATGTTTTGCAGAGAAAAAAAAGATACAGACAAAAAAAGTGTTCCGTCAAAAAAAGTAAACAATAACTAATTGCGGTTATAGAATTTGTCAAAAGCTAAACTTCAATCCAGAGGGATTTACGAAACTGTTACAGTTTCCAAATATCTGTACGCATGTACTTCACAAGAAGAAATGATGAATAATATATAAATATATAAACAACTAAATAAATGGTTAGTAATGAATGAAATATGAACCAATAAATAAATAACAAATAAATAAATATAAATCTATGATAAATGAATAAACAAATAAATGAAGAAACAACTTGAAATGTTATACAGTGGATATAAAATGTTATTACATTGTAGTCCTACATTCGATTTCGTAAGTTGATGTAAACACCAGAATGATGATTCAAATCTATTTTTTGTCATGGGCAATTATTGGCGATTTGATCCCCTCCCACCCCTTCCCTCTCTCTCTCTCTCTCTCTATCTCTCTTACTCTCTGTCTCTCTCTCTCTCTCTTTCTCTCTCTCTCTCTCTCTATCTCTCCGTGTGTATCTCGTATGTGTTTTGACAGAGTGTCCCGTACTCCACACACCTGATGTGGGTGATACCAGACGGTACGCCTTTCCTGGCTTCTGGATTGCTGAGAATGTGACGTCATTTGACTTCATGGTCAGCGCTGACAATGATGCGCACATTGGACTCTTCGCAAGTAACGTGTCAGACGAAAAATACGAAATTGGTAAGTCAGTTGTGTCATTGAGATTTTGAGTCAGGGGCTGCGATCCCGGGTAGGCGGGAGGGGACACCCCCGCCCCCTCCCCGTCCCCGGAAATATTTCTTTGGAGGATATCTACCGCCCCTCCCCCCCCCCCCGAGAAATATTGAATCTTCTCGCTCCGTCACGACGGACCCTCGCTTAAAGATAAAGACCAGGGCCCCGTCTTACAAAGAGTTGATATCAATCGTAACTTATTTGCGATTGATATCAATCGTAACTATGTACATAAGAGATAGGAAACTGCAAACTTGCGATTGATTGGAGGACTTACGATTGATTTGGATCGATCGTAACTCTTTGTAAGACGGGGCCCAGTTATGGTCATGCGATTGCATTGTGAAAGAAACGTTGTGGAATCGATCAAAAAAGGTTGATCATCTAGCATATAACTATTGGTGTGTACTGCAAGGTTCTGGAATCATCAAAATGAAAAGAAATTTGGCCCAGTCTTCGTAAAGTTACAAGCACTGTACACAGAAAGATGTATAGGGGACTACGCACACGTGCGTTTATCTCTCACAGTCCAATAGATAAACTAATTTACCAAAATAATATATCAATTAGTAGGCGATTTTATCCGGCAAAATTTGTATCATCATGTATTAGTCAAAACATATTCTTTCACAGGATTGGTAATATGAGCTTCCATTTCATTTTTTGAAATTGGGGCGTTTCCAATACTGGTCTTTACCTTTAAAAATCAAAAGTCTTAAAATGTTGAAGAAGAGGGTGCAACATGGAGGTGGGAAGTGGTATAAGTCGTAGGTATTTGACAGGCAGAGATTCCACCATGTGTATATTGTCTGTCTGTTTACAACACACTATAGAAAATGCAAATTTCCGGAAGGGCTTAGCCTAGATACACTAGTTTGCTGGCTCGATGATCTAACTGTATTACATATTATATTCCACATACAAAGAATCTTGCGCTACGATTGGATAAAAGTAAATCACGTGATAAAAAATAGTTCGCCCATCATTGATGGGAGAAGAAAAGTTCGTTGCACTGTGTAGATGGTAGTACTTTCTACACAGTGCAACGCACTTTCACTGAAGATAGAATCTACAAAGTGCAAAGCACTTTCTTGTATACGTTGCGCATACGTACATGTATGTACGTACTGCATGGACTGTACGTATCGTACACCGTTTGCTAGTTGTTAATTGATGATTTGTTGCTCTAAAATGACAGAAGAAGTGAACTGTTTCCAAAGTGGAATATAAAGGAATATAAAGCAAATAATCACCTTTTGGTTTCAGGCGATGGCAAACTATCACTTCCTCGGCGATCTGAATGTATACGCTCTCTTTCCTCAGCTTCGCTTCGGAAAGATAGTTACATCCAGATTGCCTCGGAAGTGATAGTTTGTCCCATCATCTTCACCAACGGTAATTGTTTGCTTATTATATAAAATATGTATCTTTAACTCCCTTCTTTCTCTCTCGCTCTCTAACACACACTCGCACACGCACACTCTTCTTTTGTAATTTTGTTTTATTCCTCCAAATTAATGTGTAATACAAACAAACACATACAACTAAATAAAATAAATAAACGTTTTCAATATTAATTGCTTATAGTACAAAAACATAATTAAACAATAACTCATTTGTAGTATAATAATATTCAACATACAAAGAATCTTGCGCTACGATTGGTCAAAAGTAAATCACGTGATGAAAGATAGTTTGCCCATGATTGATTGATGAAACACACACAATCTTTCTCCCCCCCCCCTCTTCCTCTCTCTATCCTTTATCCCCCTTTGTCCCCGTTCCATGGAAAGGGAAAGGGGCTGTTTTAGGGGGGGGGCGCAATACACTCTGTACCGCCCTCTCGTTGTGCTACGTCTTCTTTCACAATGCATCACAATGTATCACGTATTGGAAGCTTTCCACGTGTGGAGGGGGTGGGTGGGAAGGGGTAGGGAAGGAAGGAAGGATGGGGAGGGGAGGGGGTAAAGAGGAAGCGTGCACTCAATTACTTTTGTTAAAACGAAATGAACAGTATGAACTTGTGAACTTATATTTATCATACAGTTATCGGTGGATGGAACAATGCTCGTAGCGTTATCGGACGAAGTGCCAGTTCCGATCTTTTGACTTGGAGAGAATTATCTCCTCAACAAGACTTCCGTCTGACAGGAAATCCAGTTTTTGACCACTACCAGCTATCCTTCGCCAACGGTTATATTAAGTTAAGTCGTTATGATACACAACTAGCCTTTATAGACGCCACTGACCTGGATCCTCTTGCAATCAACTGCGTCGGAATAATGACTGGGTATGGATCAGTAGGGTATTGGAAATTCCCGACATTCTGCCAGGAAAGCCAAAACAAGGATCATGCATAAGTGCTGGTTGAGGCAATCATGTAGACCATAAATTAATTGAATTGTATAGTCAATCTGCTGTTAAACTTGGGATTGTCAATAAATTTAAAACATTGTAGCTTTTTCTCGAGATGATTATACAGGGCATCGTTTCACGGAGCAGTCATAAGTTCAAATTCGCCGACATCCGATGTAATACACGCGTTTCAATCGGATAATAGTGAACTTGTACGACTGTTTCGTGAAACGTTGACCCGTTTCATAAAGTTACGGTTATAGCATGGTAAAAATAAAATAATGTAACATTATTGATCACAGTAATGGTAGGTCATCTGTATGGACAAAGCCGGGGGGAATACCACGTAAATAATTCTAAGATGATAATTTGAAGAATATGGAGTTCATTGCAGACGAGAATTCACATTTATTTGCTTTTTATTCCCCGTGCAATATGTAAAACATAAAGAACAATACAGTAAAAAAAAAAAATCCGAAAATAAAAAGAAGGCGAAATAAAAGTAGGCGCATCAAAAGATGGCGAAAATGAAGAGATTATACGAACTTCGTAGCATTTGGAGAAATATTTGTTGTATAAATTATAAGGGTCACCAAACCTGTCATTTGACTGGTGACATAATTTGAAGATGAATTATTGATATGATAAGACGGGAAGATGCATATCTAGAAAGTTTATTTTTTGTAAACGTATCAAAATCACTATTGTTGCACTTGAGAAATGAAGACTGATTATATTTGAAATTCAGTGTTGAAGAATATACTTTTTAAGTAAGTCATCACTGTAAGTAAGTCATTCATTGGAATGTAACTTACTTGAATATTAATTTATATGTTTAAATTTGTTGTAAATCGTATTAGGAAACATGAATCTGTGTCTCTTATTTTAAGAGACTTACACTGGCTACCCATTCACTCTCGCATTTTATTCAGAATATTGTTGTTAGCTTATGAATGTTTTTACGATTTTGCGCCTCCTTATTTGATAGAGCTGTTAACATTGTACACACCTTCTAGAAATCTTCGTTCTAATAAGAAAAAATTGGTTGTTATTCAACCAGTGATGACCAGGTCATATGGTGAACGCAGCTTCGCTCACACTGCCTTAACTTTATGGAACAATCTCCCGGAACATCTAAAAAACATTGACTCCATTGTTAAGTTTAAGATTGCTTTAAAGACGCACTTATTTAACATTTAATTCATCCATTTTTGTCTGTAATGCGGTGGTCACATCCCGCCGTACTTGCAAGTGCGTGCTGTCTACGTGCAAAAACGTGGGCAAAATTTGGGTATCCGTACGTGATGAGTACCGCCTCCGTACGCGCGTATTCGCTGCGTTCGGGCTGTGTTCGGGCTACCGATTCACCCCTGTGCGTGTGACGTGCGTGCCCGGTACTGCCAACAAGCGCGCAACGCACTGACTCCGTGCGCCTTTTAAAGGCGCACGTGATAAGTGCGTGGTCCGTGCTTACTCACCACTTCCCCAGTTCAGCTATCCAATGAGCACGCAGAACTCACGTGGACCGTACCGAGTAAGCACTTACAACGCACGTTGGTCGCACTGATTTATGCAGTATATAGTCTCTTCGGTGGAATGGGCGGTATCTTGAGGCAGCAACAGCTGGGACTTCTGGAGAACATCGGAATGTCGTCCTATATAAACACCGAGTTCATCGCACGTGCACGCACTTACAACATGCGAGCGAGTAAGGACACCGTACGTGAGCAGCACTTGTAAGTACGGCCTCTGTAAGATAACGTGGCAACCGCACGGAGACCTTACGTTGTAAGCCCGTACCACGCACTTACCACGTGCGCAACGTACGATGCACACAACCGTTCACGGCCAGGCGTGGCGTGCGGGCCACGTACTTGCACAGTGCGTGTGACGCGCGTTGCCGGTACTCCCTCCCTGCCTTTGCCACTCCCTCCCTACGTTTTCAGAAAAACGTGGCGGCCGTGGCCTCCCCAAAAACCGTACGGACTAAAAACACGCACGGTGGGATGTGACCAACGCTTTACCCAGTCCATCTTGTCTTTGTATTCTGTTGTGTTTTTTTCTAGAGCGCTTAGGGACATGTTTTATTACAATGTGTTATCCGCTATACAAGAACAGTAGATGTTTCATTCTTCTGTAGGCTTACATCATAATTTTCCGCTAAATATATTTTGTGTATTTATTTTGTATAATATGTATTATATTGATGGTAGTACCATGCACCAGTTGATTTACTGTATAGAGGCAACTCTATATAAAATGAAAATATTACTCTTATTTTCTGCTTCTATTAGAACCAACACAATACCAGGGTGGACTTCCCCCTTTAAAGTCCAATGAGGATTCCGCCTAACTGGCGGATACGCCGTATTTCCCAAACGAAGAATCCAAACTATAACTGTAAAATATACGTATATTCAAGTTTTTATTGTAATTCGTTATGTTTGACACAGCCTTGTTTTCGTAAAAGCGATAGGTTTAACTTGAGTTATTCTCATCAGTAATCTACGATATATAAAGTGTCTATATTTCTCCCAATCCTGTATAATCTACCACAATTCTGTATACATAATTGATATACCCCTTTAAAAATATTTATAAATAAACGGATATTTAGATATTTTTTTTGCAAAGTGTGCACGCTGCAACGGTCACGGCAGATCATTTAGACTCCTGTTGTGTTGGCATTCTAATCACCGAGCAGAAATTTGTTTTTCCTCTTCCACATTTATGATACCACATTTGTAATGATAGAGCTGGACTGTTGATCATTGCAATGAATGGCCGTTCATTGAACCTCTCTTTAATTTGCTCTTCCTTTCATTTTTATCTTGCAATCACATCGTCCTGTTCATCAAAATGATCAAATTGTAAATATTATGGACTCAATTTACAACATGAAACATCAGTTATCCCTGATGATTATCTTAATCTTTTATCTATTTCATTGCATAATACTTGGACGTAATTGCATTATTCATGTACGTAAAATACCATTGACATTGCTCATGAAACTTTAAAATAGATTTGTGTATTCATGCATAGCCCTTTTTGGTATCATATAAAAGAGGATGAATTCATCTTTGACATGAACAACACAAATGCATCAGAACAAGTTTGTTTTTCTCGTCATCGATTGGAAAATCGGGTTTCGTTTCTTATATAACACAATAGTACCTGGGAGATTTCGGAGTACAATTACTTTTCGTGTCCGTTACAGGTATTTTGAAAGAGTAGAACACTATTGTTCGTATAGGTTGTAAATTTTTTTTTTTTTAGAGCAAAGAGCTTTGAATGATGGAACATCCCCGTCGATCGACACGTCCGACCTTCAGCACATTTGTCAGCAGGCCAACTTGAATACTTCTGTGTTCTTGAGTGTCGGTCTCACCATGGACCTATATACTAAGTAGGTCCATGGTCTCATGAACCCTCAGCCAACTTTTTAGAATGCCCGTCAGTGTGACTGTCGGTGTGGTACTGGCTTGTCAGTCTCGTAGAGCAATCCGTCTCGTGGGCCGTTGGCAACGTGAGACGATAATTTTCGTATCCGGACACCTACCCCCTGGATATCCACCCCGGATAACCAACCCCAGTCAACTACCCCCTAGGACAACTACCCCCTAGGACAGCTACTCCCTAGGGCAACTACCCACTAGGAAGACTACCCCCGGGACAACTACCCCTAGGGCAAATACCCCCTAGGACAACTACCCCCCAGACAACTACCCCCTTCGACAACCATCATCTAGGACAACTACCCCAGGTCAACTATCCTAGGGGGTAGTGGTCCGGGGTAGTTTTTCTGGGGGGAAGTTGTCCTAGGGGGTAGTTGTCTAGGGGTAGTGGTCCGGGGTAGTCTTACTAGAGGGTGGTTGCCCTAGGGGGTAGCTGTTCTTGGGGGTAGTTGTCCTAGGGGGTAGTTTACTGGGGCTGGTTATCCGGGGTTGGATTTCCAGGGGGTAGGTGTCCTAGAACTGATGATCATGCAAAGAAAGGGATCTGTTTCGTGATGGTCGATTGAACACATACTGAATCGAAGAATGAACATTGTTAACAATTGTTTGGAACTTGGAAGACCGAGATTTATGATTTGGCCTACTGGCGAGGAGAAGTTTTGGAATTCAAAATAAGAATGCGGAAGCTTGATTAATTTATGATTAAAGCCACAACGAGGTTTAAAATTATGCATGTGACATAGTGACAATCCGATTTATAATAGAAGGTCTTTAAGAGGCCCTCCCAATTTTGAATCACTGCCAATACTCGGAATTTCTATATTCTATGTATATGCGTTGAAATGCAAACAGTTCTTGTTGCTATACAGTATAATCAAGTTAAAGACATCGTCCTCTTCAGAAATGATTATAGGTAAAGTTAAATGATCTTTTCATGTATTCGTTTTAGTGTTTACTATAATATTGCCTGTATTTATTTTCAGTGTGAGTGACATCAAAACAAATAAAAGGTTAATCTAGTACACTCGTGCAACACGTCTTTTGTTATTCAAGAGCCAATATCGTCTCTCCCTCTCTTTCTCTCTCTCTCTCTCTCTCTCTCTCGTACTCTCACCCCATCTGCCCCTGTGTCCTCCTATTATATGTAGAAATAAACATTCTATTCCATCATGACGTTGTACATGTATTTGATTCTTAACTTTAAGCATCTGAAAAATGTAGGTAAACTAAAATCGCTATACACAAAGAGAATTATGCAATGCTGACTGTTGTATTTTAACATTTTGATTATTATTAAGTAGTGGACATGGGTAACTGGCAGGTGATTTTGTTTTTATTGTCAATAATAAACTCCTTTACCTCAACTCCGTTAAAGAGTGGATATGGACGCCGTATACTTCAATACTGTCTATTCGTTATATCGCCCCCATATGAGACCGGGGTAGCCTCACTAGTCATAAGGGCCGCTATTCATAAGGACCGCTATTCATAACATAAATATTCCTATACGTAAAGAACCGCTTTTCATAAAACGGAAAGGGGGTCGCTATTCATAAAGGGACAAGGACCGTTATTCCGCTATTCATAACATGAAACTTCCTATACGTCAAGAACCGCTATTCATGAAACGGAAAGGGTGTCAATATTCATAAAGGCGTAAGGACCGTTATTCATAAGGTCCGCTATTCATAGTGTGGGATGAGGGTCGCTATTTACAATACAAAATGAGGGTCGCTATTCCTTATACGTATACTTGTGAATATTGACCCTTTTCTCGTATTATCAATAGGGACCCATATGAATAACAACCCATATTTTGTATTATGAATAGCGACCCTCTTTTTCGATTATGACTAGCGGTCCTTATGGATAGCGGCCCTTATGAATAGCGAGCGGACTCCATAAGACCATGATACTGCAGTCACACCGCCGAACCAACTCCAAAACAACCTCACAGACCTTTCCAAATCGACCATTTCTCTCCAATTCTCTGTATAAACGCGATTTCTTGTTCGGTTTTCTTTTGGTCTGGGCATCGTTTCACCTAACCTTTAAAAATACAAGTTCTCTGAAATCTCCTTGAAACACGTATTAATTACAATACAAGTGTTTCAACAGGATTCCGGTGAACTTGTGCATGTGACGGTTTCGTGAACAGCTGGCCTGGTGTTTTGTTTCGTCTGTGCAAGGAGGAGGAGCACTGGCGTACTGACTGGGGCAGTTGTCCCCCCCCCCCCCCCCATCAAACTCAAAC